ATGTTCAATCTTAATGTATAGAATGATCATTTATGATGGTATATCATTAATGTTCAATTTCAATATATAGGTGGGAAAAAGAAAACTCTAGAAGAAGTGAAGAAAACTTCTAAGGTTGCTGGCAAAAGAAAAGCAGGTATATAATGATATATTATAAATGTTCAATTTCTATATATAGAATGATCATTTGAGAAAACAATTTTGTTCATTTTATCATTTGCTTACTGTACATTTTCAATACTTAAACAAAATTATATATTTAATTTTCAGATGTCAGTCCTGCCAAGAGAAATGCTGGAAAGAGAAAAAAAATACAAGAAGTACCATCAGATGAACCCTCTCAAGATCCTACTGATGAAAGTTCTACTGACAGTGATGATGATAGTGAAGAGTCAGTTTATAGAGCAGAAGAAGAGCCTGTCAGTGAGGATGATTATGAGGTGGAGGAAGAGGAGGAAGAGGAAGAAGTAAAGCCAAGGAAGAAACAGGCAAAGAAAGGGAATTCAGTGAAGGCAAAGGTTGAAAAGGAGGAGCAAAAGATGGTACTGTATGATGAAGGAAAGATTGAAGGTAGGAGAAAAAAGAAAATGAAAACTGAAATGGTTCAAGCAATAGAAACTGATGAAGTTGAGGAAATTCAGGAAGATGAATTTGAGGAAGAGAAATCTTCAAAGAGAGGAGGACATGTGAAGTTCATTGCATGGATAAAAAAGATGACACCTACCCAAAAACAACAAGTTATTGATATAGGGTTAGGATCACTTCTTGACATTAGTTTACCTCAACTTGATCAAAAGTTCTGTAACTGGTTATTGGGAAGTTTTGAAGAAAATAGCCAGTGTTTTGAACTACCAAAGAATGAAAAAATAGAAATTGAGGTAGAGGATGTTAGGGTAGTTTATGGCTTGCCTACAGGAGAAATTCCAATTGTTGAGCCAAAGTCTGATAAAATTAGTGAGGAGTATGCAGAATTTCTGAAGAAATGGAGAAAATCATGGTCAGGAAAAACTCCATCAGTGAGTCAGGTATGATCAGTTTTAAATGTTCATTTTAAATACATTAAATGATCAAAAGTATAAATGTTTTGTTCATTTTGTTTGCAGATTGTGAATGGATACATAAATGATAAATTCACCAACAACAGACCACCAAGTGAACATTTCATTACTAACTTTTTAGCAGTGGCTGTGAACTGCTTGATGAAATGTGTATCAAACAATCAATGCCATTTCAAATTTCTTTATTCTATGATGGACAAAGAAAACATAAAAAATTTGAACTGGTGTCAGTTTGTATATGACTCACTTATCAAATGTCATGTTGATTGGAGAAAGCAGCAAGGCAAGGGGTTCTACAAAGGCCCTCTTCAATTTCTGATGGTATATTCTTAGATACAAGATGTTCATTTAAATTTAAATAAATGCACTTTTTTTTATTGTTTATGTTCTGTTCCATGTTTTCTTTTTTCTTGTAGTTGTTCTATTTTGATAGAGTTCAGAGGTTAGACAAAAGGCCTCCAAGAACAATTCCTATCATATCTGCATGGAATAGAGACATGGTTCTTGAGAGGTTGAAGATTGAATTAGAATTGGGATTTGGGAGAGGGAAAATTCTACCAAGGATTGCTGCAGAAGTTGAAGAAAGTCCTAAGGTTATAAAATGATCACTTTTGTTAACATAAATGTTCATTTGTATAATCTGAAATGTTCAACTGCATAATTTTTAATATTCATTCATATAGGTTTTTATGGATGATTTTGTTTCCCTGGTAAAAACAACTTGTTCAAACCTGTCAAAGCTTTCTTCAAAATTGGTGAAGGCAAAGGATATCTTCCCTGGAAATGACTTGGTGAAAAAAGTTGATGAAGTTTTAGGAAAGGTGGTAGCTAGGGAACCATCAATTCTAAGCCAAGATGAAGAATTCTTTGGCAGTGAGGATTTCCTAAATGCACTTGCACAAGCTGAGAAGAATCTGATGCAAGGGTCTGAAAAGCAAACAACTGAGAAGCAAATGACTGGGAAGAAATTAACCAAAAAGGGAAAGGAAAAAGAACAAGAATATGACATCAGAAAAGCTTTCAGCTTGGGGTTGACTCCACCTTCTCCAGCCATTGGTAAATTCTAACTAAAAGAGACTATATATCCTAATTTTTATATGAAAAATTCTAAATTTGTGGTCTAAATTGTCCTAAACAGAAACAGGGCCCACCTTTTCAACACTTGGTGATATAATTGAACAACCAATAATTTCAACAAATGGTAATATGTTCATATATTTAATAATAATGTACATAAACTTAAGTAGAAATGTTCATTTCTAATTATTATGTGTAAATACTATTAACTTAGTGTATCTCCAAAATGATGATTTATAATACAGCTGGAGAAAAGGATGTGGGTAAAACTTCAGCAGCTTCAGAACAAAGAATTGAAGAATTTTCTAGAACTGGTATAATGTTCAATTAAAAAGTGTAAAATGTTCATTTACAAACAAGAAATATTCATTATTAATTGTATTTTTTTGTTAGACGCAGCAACTGGTTCAAAATTTGATGCTGACACTAGGTCAGATAATGAAGGATTGCCTAGAACAGGTATAATGTTCAATTATAAATACTCAAATGTTCATTTACAAAGAAATTATATTATATCTAATTAAATTTTTTCTTAGATGCAGGATCTGGTTCAGTGGTTGATGCTGACCCTAGGTCAGATGGTGGTGAAAAAAGTGATGATCCAAAAAACACAGTTGAAGGTGGAAAACAAAACAAGGAAGATGTTTTTGAAAAAACAAAAAATGATGAAAAAGTGGAGGGGTAAAATCCTGAAGACATGTCTTACTATTAGGGTTATGTAATGGTGTAGGATAAAATATCTAGATGGAACAATTTAACTTATGTTACTATCGTGTTGTAACTTGAAACTGGTGTTTCTCAAACTATTGTATGTGTGAACATTATTTTGTTGAATATGTAATATGAATGTGTGGTTTATGTTAAATCAATAGGTTTATGTTAAATCAATATCTTTCATTTTATGAATTGAAAATGATTCAGGGTGTTACATAAGAAGCTTTTATTTTATTAATATGTACTGACATTGTTTCACTTTTCAGTGAAAACAAGAAGATTGTTGCTTCATCCTCAAAAGTCACAAAAAGGTACATTATTTATATTAAGTAAATGTTCAAAAATAATAATGAACATTTTCATATACCTAAATGTACATTTGTGTTATGTAATATGACCAGGAATGATGATAAGAAAAAGTCAATTGCAGAAAAGAAGAAAAAAACTGAAAAGGAAAAGGTTGAAAGGTATAATTTCAAATTTATTTATATACACTCAAATGTTCATTTATGTTCCTCATAATTTTCTTAATTTAACAATATTTTATATTGAACAACAAGACCAAAACGCGAAAAGAAAACAATTCCTCCTGCTTTCCGATCTCCTTACTTGGTCAAGTACAAGGATCTGTTTAAAGATGAGAAAGCCATGAACCAAATTGCAGTAGACTTTGCTCTTGGTGGAAAAGATGAAAGGTAATTACTTACACTAATTAAACTTAAGGTTTAATATCTTTTATAAAAATATGTTCACATTCATATTATTAAATGTTCATAATGCAGTGCACTCTTATACTATGATGGCTTGAATCTCATCAATAGAAATGAAATGAAAACTCTTGGAGATGATGTTGAAGTGACAAATTGTGTCATAGATGGATGGGCAAGGTTTCTTAATCATAAAAAGCCGAGAAACAAGATTTATTTCTCAACAGTGCTTCATGTTAGTCTTTCTTCTTTTTTTATATTATTGATTCTATTTTCCTATGATAAATAATTGCTAAAAATTCATTTAACTTCTATATGTTTGTTTGTATTTCAACAGCACATTATGTGCACAAATAGAGTTTGTCAAGAAGGATCATCAATGAAGACAAGAATTAATGCCTTCATAGAAAGAATTGACAATGAACTGAAGTTGAATAAAATTGACAGCATTGTTGGATATAAACAGGTATTAATTCTTGTTTAATACAAATGTTCAATTACCTTCAATATATTGTCCAATAACATTATATAATTTGTTCAGGTCTTCTTCCCAGTATCAACTTCTCAACATTTTTTTCTGTTGTGCGTCAATCATATAGAAGACAAAATTCATATAATTGACAATAGAAAACTACCAAAAAAGGTATCAGTCAAAGCAAAATATGAAGAACAACCAAAAATGATGGTGAGATAATATGTTCATTTATAGTTGACTACATGATCAATTATATTTTATTAATTGTTCATGTCTTCATCACAATACAAACTTCTAAACAATTTTTACTCTTTTTTCTATCAGTTAAAAGGATTGGCAGAGTACATGAAACACCTTGGATATCAAGATGCAAAAAGAATTGAAGACTACACAGTTGTTTTGGAAAAGATGAAATGGCGTAGCAACAATGACTATACAAACTGTGGAGTTTACATTATGAAGCATATGGAAACCTTCACTGCTGATCCTAATGAGAGCTGGATTTGTGATTTAAAACCAAACAATGTAAGAGTTATAAATGATCAATTATTTAAGATATAATATTCATTTATGAAACAGTAAAGATTGTTTAATTAAAATTTGACAATTCATTTTGTTCAACAGGTGGAACAAATTAGAAATCTAAGGCTCCAATACACAGCAGAACTGATGTTATTTGAAGAAAACACTGAATCAAGAGCAAATAGAAGGAAAGCTAGAAAATTTGCAACTTTGTAGTTTCAAATGTTCATTTACAACTATGTATATGTTCATTTCTTATATATGACTATTTTTTTTTTTTTAGAAGTAGACTTATGGATTTTATTTTAATATTATTGTAATTGATATTTCATTTTAATCTTTGAATGAATGTTTTTTATATAATAGATCGAAAATTCAAAATTACAAAATAGTAATTAAATCAACATTACAAAAAAGTCTAATGTTTATAAAGTTCTGGAATACTAATTATTTATCTTTATTAGCCAAACGTTTAGCTACACTTGTATCAAAAAAGGATAACAACCTATCATATTTAGAAGAAATCTTTTTAGAACCTAATTGAACATTTCTTGATTGAAGAATTGGAACACGAGCACCTTGATCATTTCTTTGAACTGTGGGAGGAGTAACTTGAACATTCTGAACAGGAAATCCTTGATCATTTATTTGAACCGTAGGAGAAATAACTTGAACATTTGTTGATTGAACATTCCTGGAGTTGGATATGATCATTTCTGGATTGGTGTTTGAACAATTCTGAGTTTGATTTTGAACATTCCTGGGAACAGTAGGTTGAATAACAACAGGAGATTTTGTTGACGCACTAGTATGAATTGGAACTCTTGGATTAATTTGAGAGTAAGTTTTAACACCAGAAGCACCTTTATTTGCACCAAAATTAGAACAAGGTTGAACAGCAGAAACACCTTCAAGATTTAAATCCTTCGCCTTTAAAAAAAATTAAATTGATCATTAATAAACCAGTATATGATCAGTTACAAACACTTATACAAACAAATATGGAAAAAAAAAACCTTAGCAATAGATGAAATATCAACATCAATAGATATGATAGATGAAAGAGAGCTTTCACCAGTAGCCTACAAAAAAACCAAAAAAAAATATAAAAAATAAAAAATTAAATAAAAAAAAATTATAATATAGATCATAAATGTTCATATACCTGATCAAAATCATTGGAAATACTATGATTTGATTCCTTAGAACTAGAAGGAATTTCTTCTACAACAGCTGATTTTAAGCCGACCTATATTTTTAAATTATAAAAATCAATATTAATAAAATATAAATAAAATGTTTTTTTTGGCACATTTGAATTTACCTGAGCCCGTTTATTGCTCAAAACAATCAATTCAATGGGATCACTAATAGAATTAGCATAAGTAACAGCACAACCGTTCTCATCAAGTTCCTATTTAAAAAAAAAAAAACATAAATGATCATTTACGAAAACTGAAATGATCAATTTGAAAATATGAAATGATCATATACCTGTACAACTGCTTGCCCTATACCCCTTTTGTAAGGAGTGTACAGAGACTTTTTCCTCTTGAAATTACCCTTTGCCTTGTTACACTGCTTCTCCAAGGTACTCTTAGGCCTTACATTCCTCTCACCTTTAGGCCTAGCTTTTGGAGGATTCTTGATCTCAAGATCAACAATTTCAACCTCTTTAACAGGTTCACTAAAGTCAATTACACCTGATACACTCTCAACCTTTTCTTTTAACAGATTGAAATAACACTCAACCTCTGCCCTTGCATTCAAAGAATTCTGACAACTTGTTATCAACTTAACAAACTTTCTGATTGTTTGTGACCTCCAAACACTAGTAGCCACAACATTTGTCCTCAAAATAGGTTCTTCAATACCATGACTACACATGGCAGCCTTTGTCCATCGTTTCATTATATACTCTTGTGGAATATTACGCACACAATGCAAATGATATACTCGAAGAGAATGAGAACAAAGTAAACCAGTCTCACTAAAGTACATGCATGTGCAACAAATTGCATGTGTTTCCTTATTAAAAACAACTTCATGCTTAATTATATCCTTCCCAGGCCTCCAAAGAAGATATGAATATTCTGGAAAACGCAAACCATTATCAACATGATCATAAGCTGTCCCCCTAATGAACTCCTCTTCAAAAAGAACATAAGCTTGAATAGTGTACAATGATCTTGCATGAACTAATATACCAATATTAGCAAAAGCTAGGTGCCTATTACCCCTCAGAGTATTGTAATCTCTTGCACCTTCCTTACTTCTCCACTCAGAAATGACATCAAGAAAAACATGATAAAAATCACATAAACCTTGAGTCTTATTAAGACGTTGTGAAACTGACTTATTAGTAGTTTCACTACGTTGAGAAGACAATATACCACCAGACCAATACTTCTTAGAATAAGCAGGACACCACATTTCCTTTATTTTATACAAATCACATAACCAATCATCATTTTCACATTTGTATTTATCACACATCCTGTATAACAGAAATGATCATATATTAATTTAAAAATGAACAAAATATAAATTAAAATATGTACATTTGTGTAAGGAATAATGATCATAAACAATATGGACACTAATAATATTATGATAACATACATAACAAAGTAAATTGTATGATCATATGTAAAACACTAAATGTTCATATATATATCACATAATAATCAAATATATCACATAATAAAAATAAAAAATAAATACAAAAAACAATAATTTACCTTTTCCAGAAATATTCAAATTCAGCAGGAGTTTCACAATACTTCAAAAGATATCCAAACAAATCTGTAAAGCCTTCCAAAGCTCTCAATGCTCCAATGTGTTTCTTAGAATTTTGTTCAAGATGCCATACACATAAACGATGATGAACAGTTGAAGGAAAAATGTTTCTTATACCCGCTGCAATCGCTTGTGCTTGATCAGTCATAATTGTAATGGGACTTTTCCTCCCCATTGAGTGCAAAAATGTATCAAACAACCAATCAAAAGACTCGGTGCGCTCATTAAGAATAAAACCCATACCAAACATGACATTGTTACCATGATGGTTCATCCCAACAAATGGAGCACATATCATTCTATATTTATTAGTTCTATAAGTTGTATCAAAAACCAACAAATCTCCAAAGTAATGATAATCTCTCATCATCCTACCATCACGCCAAAAAAAACTAACTAAAGCACCACTATCATCTTGTTCAAAATCATAATAAAAATCTGTCTCATCCACATGTCTCTTGGCAAAATATTTAATCAATTGGTTACCATCACATCCTTCAATTTGGGCAGCTTTTTCAGATGACAATGCATTATAAGCATCAGAAGCAGTAAAACAAAGATTAGGAGATCCCCCAACCTCCTTCTTTAGAACCCTCAAAGAATCAGTAACTTTGACTCCACTCAATTTCATTGTTGAAATGAAAAGAAGCTGCTCTTTATTCACATCTCTTTGAGACCTTATCAAATGCCTTTTTTCAGGAGGAATCATAGCATGATTATGAACCATTTCATGTCTTGTACATGTATAGACCCCTAAATGATCAATATGAAACTGCACAAAAGCTAAACAACCAGTTCGATGATCCAACTTCTCATAAATCCTTTTATTCTTACACTTATTATCTTTGAATCCCTCATTACAACAAACAAATCTTTTCATCAAAAAAGAATCATCTCTTCTTCTCTTACTCTTCCCAATTCGAATTCCAAAACCTTTCCTAAAAGCATATTCATTATACGCTTCGAAAGCTTCATCTTCAGATTTAAATTCTTTATCCTTTAATTCAGACTGTTCTGCTTCTAAATACATAATATCATCATTTTTTTTCCACTGCACAATATACAATTATAAATGATCATAAAGAGTTTCATGAATGAACAATAACAAATAAGTAAAATGTTCAATATCAAAACAGCACATGATCAATTGCAAAAAGAATTTCAGCACATAATATTTTGAACAATATTTTCATTATTTACCACTACACATAATATCGATATAAAAATGTAAAAATAAATGATCAAAAATGACTTTAAGACTGAACATAAACACATTAGTAACAATGAATAAGAAAACATAAACGATTAATTGAAAGTATAATCTACAAAATATACGACAAAAACACACAATTCTAAAACACAGAGAAAACAACAAATGAAACAACAAATGAAGCAACAAAATGTTCATACAAAGTACAACAATCCAAAAACGTTCATCATAATGTAATCAAAGTAGTAAATTCAAAAATCGAAAGTGAATAATAATACATCAATTAAGTTCAAATTAACAGAGCATTATAACAGAACAAATTAGGGATAATTAAAAATTGAAAAATTATGATCACAATTACTCACATTGTTGCACAAACGAATCAACGAAACGAAGTCCAGAAGGAAACACACGCTCGCAATCGCGATCAAAATCAACGCAATCTCCAGATGCAGAATTCGCCATTGATGATCGGTAACAATTAACGAATTCGTTCAAAAAATCAAATGAAGAAGATGAATTAGCGAGAGAAAAATGTAGATCAAAAATGGAGGTTGGTTGATCAATTGAAGAGAGAGAAAAAATAGGGTTTAAAATCATATATATACATAAATTGAATAATAAGAATCAAAGGAAAAAGGAAAAAAGAGGAAGAAAAGAAAAAAAGAAAAAAAGGAAAAAAAAAAAAAAAAAAAGGAAAGAATCGCAAAAGGGAACTCAATACCAGCTACAAAACGACGTAGCATAGGGGGGGTGTAGGGAACACACCCTACACTAGGGTGTAGGGTAAAATTTTCACTGAATTCAAGGCCTGTATTTGGTTCTGTAATCTAAACCAAACAATAAAGTCCGTTGTGGTTGAGTACTATTAAAACAAAGCAGGTTGGGCTTTTCTGCCTGAAGACTTGGATACTATAACTTTACTGCTTCTAAATTTTACGTAGTATTTCATCTGTATTGCTGGCCTGCTGAGTGCTGACTTCACTCTATATCTTTCGGTCTTTCCCACTGATTTTGCTAATGCCTAAATCAACAGCATCAACAACTGAACTGCTCTTTTTTTTTTCTTTATTGAGGTACATTACAATTAATTAGTGTGCTCCTATATATGCTGTTGTTGTTGTAGTTTATACACCTCCATTATTTCTGTTTTCCTTACAAGGTAATGGATTTTCATCCCTAAACAATCGTGTTTCTTAATTATATATATCTATTACCACTCGATAAGGCCTTGAACGGAGAAGTGGATATAGGATACATATGAATAAAAAGAGATAATTGAAGTATAAACAAACATTAGCACAAAGTCTTTTATAACAATTATGCTTATGATCAAAGCTTTTTTCTTGATAAATAACAAATTGTCCCAAGTTTATCATTTAAACCTTAACACACATCAATTTCTAGACATGTATAACTTTGGCAAAAAGTTGTCCGCATCCTTGTCTCATGAGGAACTAATAATGTAGATTAGGTATTGAATAAACTATGGTTATGGACACAGCACATAGAAAGTAAACATACAATATGACAAGAAGTTTCTCAAAATATACTACTACTACTATTATTATTATGTGAGTGGTTTGAAATTAATAAATTCTGATGTTTGTTGTTGGTTGAATCCCTTTTCGCAAATGACCAATGCAAGGAAAGAAAGTCTAGTTAAGGCCTTTTCACATTTACTTAATTTGAGTTCAGTTCAGTTCAGTTCATCTCTAATTAGTTCATTTCAATTCAGCTCCAATCAGTTCACTTCAGTTCAGCTCCTAATTTCCCTCGACTCTCTCATGAAATATTCAGTTCAGCTCAATTCAGTACGGTTCAGCTCCAATCAGTTCAGTTTAGTTTAGCTAAGTACAATTCATTAAGTATGCATGAACAGGCCCTTACTTTAATGTTATGTTCAAAAAAATTTGTATGAGAATCACAGGTAATTAATTAGGGGATGAAAATAAATTGCACCGATTAAATTAACTCAAACCTACTACGAACATTAATGACAACATATAATGATCATATATGGTTCCAAACTACATTATATGACCCCGAGATGTATCCCCTAAAATCTAAAGGCTTTTCGACACCGGACCCCCGAAACCTCCTAAATTTCTTAAAAATCGTGGATATTAGTCTTTAAATTTGGATTTTTTTTTTTACTTTTTTCCTCGGAAAAAAAAAAATCGCCAAAATGTTAGCCATGGTCCCTAATACCCTCCGGAAGTCCAATTGACTGGGTGGAACCATCCAATTTTCCTTTAACCGGCCAATTTACCGGTTTACAACTTTTGCCGATTTCATTAACCCAAGCCTACACAAACATTTATGACAACATATAATGATCGTATATGGTTTAAAACGACATTATATGACCCCGAGATGTATCTCCTAACATCTAAAGGATTTTCAACACCGGGCCTGAAACATCCAAAATTTCTCAAAAACCGTGGATGTTAGCCTTTAATTTTGGAATTTTTTTTACTTTTCTTTGCCCGGAAATAAAAAGTGTCGAAAATTTTACCATGGTCCCTAATATCCGACGAGAGTCTAATTAGGTGGGTGGAAACATCCTATTTGCCTTTAAATGGTCAATTTACCGGTTTACAACTTGCACCGATTTCATTAATTCAAGCCTACCACGAACATTTATGACAACATATAATGATCATATATGAATCCAAACGATATTATATGAACCCTAGATTTATCTCGTTGAATTTCAAGACTTTTCAACATCGGGCCCGAAACCTCCAAAATTTCTCAAAAAGCGTGAATATTAGCCTTCAATTTTGGAATTTTTTGACTTTTTTTCGCCCAGAAATAAAAATTGCCGAAATGTTTAGCATGGTCCCTAATATCCTCCGGGAGTCCAATTGGGTGTGTTGAACCATTAAATTTGCTTTTAAACGGCCAACTTACCGGTTTACAACTTGCACCGATTTACCGGTTTTCAACGGTCAATTTAATTAATTTGCACCGAACTCGACTTGAACCGAAATTGACCCAAACCCGTTTTAACCCGTCAGAACCTGAATTTAATTCGACTTGTTACTAACCCGACCCGTTCTTAACCCAACCCGAATTTAACCCAACTTGTTACAAACCCGACCCGAAATCAACCCGACTTGTTATTGACCTGACCCAAATTCAACCCGACTTGTTATTGAACCGACCCGAATGTTACCATTCCTATAACTTACCCAACCCAAATATTCATCCCAATCTGTTACTAATCCGACTCAAAATTAACACGACTTGTTATTGACCCAACCTAAATTCAACCCAAATTGTTTTTGACCCGATTTCAAATCAACTTAAATGCAATTTAGACCACCTTATTATTGTTGATCAAAGAATTTTGTCTTGAGAGACCAAGTCGGTCTAGGCCAACAAAAGAAAGGAGCATTATCCTCAAATTTAAGAGTTATATACAATATATATATTTGTTGTATGTCAAAGGCAATAATTATCTTCCTAAATTATACACTATATAGTTCACTACGTGAAAAAATGAATTTGGCACCAGTTCAAACCCGGCCTAAGCCAATGTGGGGGGTGCCAAAAAGGGGTTTAAAAAGGCACCGGTTTAAACCGGTGCCAAAAATCGAAATTGGCACCGGTTAACCGGTGCCAAAAAGGCCCACTAAAAATTATTTCAAAGTTTTTGGCATCGGTTAACCGGTGCCAAAAAACCCCCAAAAATCAATTTTTTTTGTCTTTTTTTGCTTAAAAATTAAATAAACTAAATTAAATAAAACACAAAATATAAATCAAACATCACAATCAATATAAACGATTCTGTTTAATATATATTTAATCAATAAAATTTTACAGCATAGATCAATAAAAAAAATTACAACATATAAATAAAAAAAAATTACAACATATAAATAAAAAAAAATTACAACATCACAATCTAAAAATCCCCATATTCTTGATTCTTCGATTATGTGTACTTGCGCCAATTAAAACATCAAAAATAAATTGATTAAAATGAATAAGCTGCGAAAAAAATAAAAAAAAAAACCAGAAAAAAAAAATCGAATTAAAATCGATTAAAATAAAAACAAAATCGAAAAAACCCAGAAATAAAAAAATAAAAAAAAAATCAAAAAAATAAAAACAAAATCCCAGAAAAAAAATGAAAAAAACCCAGAAGTAATAAAAATAAAAACAAAATCGAACAATTAAAAAACCCAGAAATCAATTAAAATAAAAACAAAAACAAAAAAAATTGAAATCGAAAAAACCCAGAAAAAATCGAAAATTAAAATCGAAAAACAAAAATCAAAAATCAAAATAATACAACGAAAGTAAAAATCGAAACACAAAAATCAAAATCGAAAAAAAAAGAAAAACAAAAATCAAAATCGAAAAACAAAAATCAAAAATCAAAATCAGACAACAAAAGTAAAAATTGAAACACAAAAATCAAAATCGATAAAAAAGAAAAACAAAAATCAAAATCGAAAAACAAAAATAAAAAATTGAAAAACCCAGAAATCGAAAAAAGAAAAACAAAAACGAACAAATAAAAAACCCAGAAATCAATTAAAATAAAACAAAAACGAAAAAAAAAATTAAAATCGAAAAAACCCAGAAAAAATCGAAAATCAAAATCGAAAAACAAAATTCAAAAATCAAAAATCAAAATCAGAAAACAAAAACCCAGAAATTGAGGGAGGAGGAGACGTGTTCGTGGTGGTCTCCGTGGTGGTGTTGCATGTGCTCGCGGTGGTCTCCGTGGTGGTGTTCGTGGTGGTCTTCGTGGTGGGCTTGAAGGAGAAGGAGACGCGGTAGCTTAGTCTTGAGGGAGAAGGAGGAGATGAGAAAGGGAAGGAGGAGATGAGAAAGACTGGTTAAGTGGAGCGAAAGAGGAGGAGAGGAGAAGAGGAGAGAGAAAGAGTAGGAAAGAAGAGGAGAGGAGAAGCGGCGAGAATGATGAAATAGGGTTTGGGGGGTATAAATATGGCTGTAGGGAATAAATTTCAAGCCTTTAAAATCCCACTAGCTTGAACCCCACTGTGATCATACACTAAAGTACGGTGGCGTCCAATAGGGAAGAAGATAGAGCAAAAGACTCGCCAACAAGTATTTAAGGAACTTGTAAACCGTTCATAGGATGAAGGTTACACCCCTTAACGATCCAAGAGATCGTCAACTCCATAAGGTCATGAACCAAATAAGGGTTCGGGGATGATGGTACAAATCCAACCTAAAAGAGATTGAACCTGCCCTAATAATAGGCCTCTACTTTATTCTGATCGTATTCATGTGCGCTTTCTGATTAACATGCAATCAATAAGATCAACCCTAAACTTGTTTAATCTATGTTGGTTGAACATTAATGCACAAATAAATCTATTATTGGCGATCACTTGAATTATAATCACAATTAACCCTAAACAAGATTATTAAATATCTTATTAAGCGTGATTACAAGTACAAATTCCCTTTAAACATGCATAAAAGGTGTGATCAAGTAATAACAATATAAATCAAGCAACATAATAAATAATCAATATCACGAATAATAATTATAATAATAATAACCATCATCATAAATAAAATCATCATCAAAATAATAATAATAATAATATTCATAATCATTATAACAATTATAATCATAATCATGTTCATGTTAACATTAAAGCATAATAATAATAGCAAGATCCTAGGCATGATAGTAACAAGATTAATAACAAACCCTAGCATGTCACTAAGCAATAAAAATCAAATCTTTAGCCCTAACATGATACTAACAATCATAAGCATTAGGAAGAGAATAGGAAGCATTGCAGGAATCATAATAAGCATATTTGATATTAAAATTACCCTAGACATGATACTAGGAATATCATAATAACAATATAAACATGATTTCTACATCATAATATCAATAAAAAATCAGTTAAAGTACTTACTTTGATGCTTCGTACCTCTTTCTAATAACAAAATACACACGTTAGTAACTTCAAGGAAAATAATAATCAAAACAATTAAAATAAATAATTGAAAGAGAGATTCGGGACCAAACCCTCAGAAATTAAAAACCTTTCACGTCTAGGGCGAAAGCAACTTCGAATATGGCTAGGTGTTTCTTGATCTTGTGAATGCGGAATTTTGTATGAAAACAAAGTAAGAAAGAAAGATGAATGTTTTAAAGAATGCTAATTAAAACTTGTGAATGAGGAGAATTGGTGAATGATAGATGTAGATGAGAATTGATGATTCAAAACGGAGTTTTTGATACGATATTTATAGAGAAAATCAGCCAAAAAAGATAATTTAACAAAACAGAGTCTGACGCTCAAGAAACAGAGCTGGCGCCAACCCTGGGTAGCTGGCGCCAGGCACCAACGGCTAGCGCCAGGCGCCAATGGCTAGCGCCTGGCGCCAAGCCTGGTTCCAGGCGCCAAGGCCTGGGGTTGGACGACAAGCTTGATTTCGACGCGTTTTCGAAAATCCGATAAGTTTACCGTACTGGAGGATAAAATAATATAATTTCTTCGAAAATGCTATTTGATTTTGATTAAAACTCCGAAAAGTCAACAAAGTCAACTTATCAATGCTAATTGAATTAGGAATGAAAACAACCTTCTAGAAGATTCTAGAAGACTAAAACCATTCCTAATTTCATTAGGAATAATAAATCATATTAGGCCCTCCCCTAGATCATTGGGCCGTACATAAAGCTCAAACCGGGCCCAGTTTAGTATATTGGCCATAACTTCCTCAATATTCATCGGAATTGGGCTTATAATATATCGTTGGAAAGGTCTTTGCAAGCCCCATCCAACTACACCATATTGGACCCATATCATGGACCAACCAAACTGGATTGACTGTTTTCTTAAAATAAAGTTTTCAAAAACAAAGAGAAGAGAAAAGAAATAAAAACTTTCCGCAACACTAGACCTTTCCACACTTTCGTTTCATTCGATTATGATTCGACGTGAAAGGTACTCATCACTGGGTTTGGTTTTGGGGAGACACAAATGGCCCGAATATGACCTGACTTGGAAATGACCCGACCTGATTGTAACCTGCAAATTATTATTAACTTGAACATAACCCGATTTGAATCCGAGAATGACCCGACTTTGAAATGATCCAACCTGATTATAACCCGCAAATTATTGACTTGAACCGAACCCGACTTGAACCCGAGAATGACCCGACCTGATTATAATCCGTAAATTATTGACTTGAACCGAACTCGACTCAAACCCGAGAATGACCCAACCTGATTCTAACCTGCAAATTATTGACTTGAACCGAACCCGAGAATTACCCTAACTCGTTTTAACCCGCGAAAATCTGAATTAAGCCCGACCTATTATTCACCGACTCGAATATAACCCAACCTGTTATTAATATATGAATTACCCAAATTCGACCCGTTTACCCGAATTGAAAACTCTTGCATTGTTCACATATGAATTGAAGTAGATAATAAGACCGCAATATCCAATTAAAACTTTGGAATCCTTGCTCATCCAATATAATAATGTTGGCCTGGTAAAGCTAAAAAAAGGAGATGATATAATAATAAAGTGAAAAAAAAAAATAAAAGGTGGTAAAGCTGAAAAATAGGAAGTCGAAAGAATAGTGGAATACCCATAAGGCCGGTGAACTTGGGCAGACCACAATAACATATACTCGTATAGATGGATGATGCTGTTATCATCAACAAACTTAGTCAACGGCATGCATTCATGGGAACTTTGGAACGCATCCCAACGGCCATTTCAGTTATCATTTGGCTATGGAGTATGTATGCCCTATGGTCATGGACCTCACTCTTGTCAGCTAATATACAGTACGAGTTTATAATATACCTATTTTTTTATCTTGTATCTTAAACTAGCGAACATAATTCGTTCTCAAATAATTGCATTGTGTACTGCTTAGTTTGTATTTATGCAGTAGAGATGTCCGATTACTCCTAATATGCATGTCCAATATAAAATAAGATGGAATTGCATACGGAGGGAGTGGTTGAATATGTTTGTGAAGTTGCACTATTTATTGTAGCTAGAAATCAATGTAAACAAGATAATATAGTGACTAAATTTAAACATTAATATGATGAATATGAGAGTAGAATATAGCTAGTTTATATTCAATTTGAAAGATAGAGTTCATGATTGAAAAACATGTAAAGTCAAAAAAGACGAAATTGATACATATACTAATTAATTAATGTTCGGTAAGTTGCATATTATATTATATTGGAATTAAACCCGTGCACGGAGCACCGACTAACACTAACACCTTTAGTGAAAGAAAAGAAAACATATTATTGTATTGAGGTAGCCTACAAAATAGCATACCATCTCCTTCTTGAATTGTAGCTACATAATTCTCGAGTTTTAGGAGAACCCCATGATTATTATACCTCCTCTGTCTATGCGCATGAAACTCCCTCTTCTTTAAAGTTGCCATTCCACTTCTCCGCCTTCCCTTTTTAAGATTCTTTTCTTCCTTTTCTTCTATTTTAAGCCTTTTATTTAATCAATCAACTTGGACACTTGGACCTATTATACCAAGTATATATTGCTTATCTACCTATATTAATACTTTTCTTGTGTATTGTACAAATACATTACTTCTATCTAAAATAAAACATGACATCACCAATCCTTTCACCTAATCATTAATCAAGATAGACTAATCCGCACTATATATGTTATATGTATAAGTACTCCTTCGATCTATTGCCAATTTGCCATATCTTTCCAGTATGAGCAATATAAATGTATGGGAGGAAATGTAGGATGGGCCGACATCTTTTACGGATTTGGATTTAAACCCGGTAGACCTGGTTAATGGGCAGATATGTTTGGTAAAGCAGACATATCGGCCTGTCGATACTTGGCACGTGGCAAGAGCAGCTTGACACTTGGCAGAAAAGGGTTTTGCATGCTTTGTGGACACCTGTCATGATACCTATTATAAATAGTAGGTTGGGAGTCATTAATGAGGTATGAGTTACACTCTCTCTCTCTCTCTCTCTCTCTCTCTCTCTCTCTCTCTTTCTCTCTCTTCTTTCTCTTTCTTATTTTCCTTCTCTAAAACACATTCTAACTTTGTCATCGGAGTGGTTGTCCCCGGATCACCCCGGGGTTAGCTAACTTCTGTTCAAATTGTGTAGGTTCTCGGGCTGCCGATAGGGGTGTCAGGATCTCGGGTTCGGGTTCTCGGGTTATCGGATCCAGACAGAAACAATTTGGCGCTAGAAGGAGGGGACCAGTGATTACTTCTATCGCCTAAGAACCACACACATAAAAATAACAATAATTATGGCCGGAAACAATATGACACCGATAATAAGTAAAACAATAAATCAACCAATCACAATACAGCCAGAAATTGAGATAGAAGATGAAACACATACATTGGAGGAAAATCAGTTTCACATGCCGTTAACCCCCAAAAGACAAAGGGGAGCAACGGTAGATCCCATGGCAGAGTTTACGCCAGAAGAATTGCAGGTAGCAGCAAGGGTAATGACTGCAATGAGCAAAAAAAGAAAAGATGCCGAAATGGCTCAGGCAGAAGGGGGTGTGCCGCTAACTAGTCAAGGTGAACAGTCCAATCGAATAACAAGCTCACCAAGGCTCCACCGACAAGAAACATCGGTAAGGACGCATATTGCACCGCGTCACGCAGAGGGGGAGTCATCAAGCCGAATTGTTATCACAAGAACCTATTAGCAGAGAAGTTCCCAGGTTGAAAGGCAGGTACCGCGAGCTGTGGTACAATTAAGGGCGTCACCGTTTGCGCAAAGCATCTTGGATCAGCCGATGGAGAAGATCAAGATGCCGACATGTAGGTATGATGGAAGAGGAGATCCGGGAAGGTTTATAACGTCATACGAGGGGCACATGATGCTTTACACAAACTCAGATGCTGTATGGTGTAAGGTCTTTCCGACTACATTGATTGGGGCTGCAGCTGATTGGTTTAACAATTTGGAGAATGGGGTAATAGATAGTTTTGAAAGGTTGACTGAGATGTTCATCGGGCAGTATGTTAGCAACAGTGTGCGGCAGAGGACATCAGGAGAGTTGATGGTAGTTGAACAGAGGGCAGATGAGTCTTTGAGGGATTATATCAGGCGATTCAACAACGAGGCAAACACGATCCCAAAGTTGCAACAAGAGATAGCAGTAATGGCTCTTATGAATGCCCTGAATGATTCTGAGTTCAAGCGATATCTGACGCGAAAGAACTTCTCAACGCTGGCAGCAGCCTTCAACAAAGCTCATGATTACATCAAGAGCGAGGAGCTAATGAAGACAAGCAACAAGAGTGTGACCGCTAGTAAGGGTTAGTTTCAATTTGAAAGTGCAGCTTCAGGAAGCGGAAGGCCGAGAACCTCGACTCAAAATAGAGGAGGGGGAAGTCGGCAGGAAGTTAGGGCTGCAAAACCGCCGATGCGGTACAGTTCATATACACCGCTGAATGCACCACGAGCGGCGATCTTCTCAGTGAATCAGAACAGAGAAGAATGGACAAGGTCGATTCCTATGAAAGCCAGGCCAAGGGATGCTAAAAAGTATTGCATGTTCCATAGAGATGTGGGTCACTATACAGAGGAATGTACGCAGCTGAAGGATAACATAGAAGAACTGATAAGAAGGGGTCATTTATCTCAGTACCGGCTAAATCAGAGTGGAAGCCAGCCCCCACCCCGACAATTTGAAAGGTAGAAGCTTGATGTAAGGCCGGAAAGGCCGCAGGGTAGTGTGATCTGGCAGGGGGTTGGAGGAATTCCGCCGTTATCAACAGGGAGAGGGGTTGATGTGATAACTGGAGGGTCGGTGCATGGAGGGACAATCAGTGGGGCAAAGAAGCATTTGTCAGAACATCGCCACATAATTAATGCCCTTGATACAGATAGTCGCCCAAGACCAACTTCAATCCCGGATGTTGTGTTTACGGAAGAGGATACAAGGGGGATAGTCTTTCCACATGATGACCCGCTGGTTCTGATAACGAAGATAAATGGGGCTGACATAAAAAGAGTTCTGGTAGATGGAGGAAGTTCAGCTAATGTCCTTTTTATGAAAGCCTTTAATGAGATGATGATTGGGAGGCAATACCTGACGCCGGTATCCTACCCAGTTATAGGATTTAATGGATCTTCCGTACGACCAGAAGGGAGCATAGTCTTGCCGGTAAGGCTGGGTGATGGACCCACAGCAAGAGATGTGATGGCAGAATTTTTGGTGGTTAATGTTCCCTCGGCCTATAATGCTATTATCGGAAGACCGATAATTCATGATGTACAAGCTGTTGTATCAACATACCATTTGACAATAGCGTATGTGTCAAACTTGGGAGTTGTGGAAAAGGTTCATGGAGGGCAGGTTATGGCGAAGTCTTGTTATTTAACGGCTTTGAAGAATCCAGTCGGAGATGGGTCAATACCGAGTAATCCTAAGAAAGAGCTGGAGCCTACAATACTTGATTTATCCATGGGTAACTTTGACACAAGACCGGAAACAACTCTGAGACCGTTACCGGGTGGTGAAACGGTACAAGTTGAGTTGTAGCCAGGTGATTCCAGCAGAATGGTAAGGGTTGGAGCTGACATGGATATTGATATGAGATGTAATCTGATAAGCCTGATGCATGAAAATGCAGATGTCTTTGCTTTCTTAGCAAGTGAAATGCCAGGAATAAATCCGGGGGTGATGGAGCATAAATTAAATGTCGACAGGGGATTCAGGCCGATTAGACAGAAAAAGCGGAAATTCTCTATTGAGAAGATAGAGGCTATTCAGGCTGAGGTTAACAAACTCTAAGCGACGGGTTTTATTGAGCCATGCACATATCCGGAGTGGTTGGAATATGTTGTTATGGTAAGAAAGCCGACAGGAAAATGGCGAATGTGTGTCGACTTTACTGATTTGAATAGGGCGTGTCCTAAGGATTGTTATCCGTTACCCCAGATAGACAGATTGGTGGATTCAACTGCCGGTCATGAAATGCTCAGCTTCTTGGATGCATTTTCAGGGTATCATCAAGTCAGCCTTCATAAGGCCGATAGACCAAAAACGGCCTTCATAACAGATGCTGGTGTATTTTGCTATAAAGCCATGCCGTTTGGGTTAAAAAATGCTGGGGCAACATACCAGAAGTTGGTTGATAAAGTTTTCGAAAGACAAAAGGGCCGGAATGTAGAGGTGTATGTAGATGACACAATTGTTAAAAGCAAGAAAAAACAGGATCACATAGCGGACTTGAGGGAAACATTTAACACCTTGTGAAAATACCAGATGAAATTGAACCCTGAAAAGTGTGTATTCGGAGTCCGATCAGGGAAGTTTTTGGGCTTCATGGTTAGTGAACAGGGGATAGATGCAAATCCAGATAAGGTGAATGCGGTGCTTGAGATGAAGCAGCCCAAGACGATTCGAGATATACAGAGGTTGACTGGCCGTATGGCAGGGTTAACTCGCTTTATTAGCAAATCAGCTGATAAGGCACTTCCCTTTTTTGTGGTTCTACGGAAGAACAAGGTGTTTGAATGGGGAAAAGAACAGCGGGACGCGCTGGAGGTGGTACGAAACCACTTGAAATCTCTACCGACGGTTGCAAAGCCAGAGAAGGGAGAACAGTTACAGTTGTACATTTCAGCATCTCCGAAGACAATAGCTGCACTGCTTGTAGTAGAAAGGAAGAAGAAGCAAATGCCGGTATATTATGTTAGTCATGTTCTGAATGCGGCAGAGCGCCGGTATCCAATAATTGAGAAAATGGCTATGGCAGTAGTGGTTGCAGTAAGGAAATTAAGACCTTACTTTGATGCACATCCGATAGATGTGCTAACAAATTATCCATTGGAAAAATCACTACACAAGATGGACACATCAGGAAGACTGCTGAAATGGGCTGTTGAATTATCGGAGTATGAGATACATTACAAGCCGAGGGTTTCGATAAAGGCACAGGCCTTATCTGACTTCATAGTAGAAGCTTCATATACGGATGAAGAAGAAGATATAGGCACTTGGAAGGTTTCAATAGTTTGTAATTTAATGATCAAAGTTTAATAAATTTTTTGGTGTTTTCACTTCCTATTATATAACGAATAATCAAATGCATATCTATCTTATGACATGTTTATTGTGGCTAACATATAATGACATAGGTATCTGTGGATGGATCTGCAACATTAATGGGATCAGGGGCTGGCATAGTCATAACGTCACCAGATGGCCAGGTATTTGAATATGCAATAAAATTCAAATTCGGAGCAACGAACAATGAAGCTGAATATGAAGCAGCGGTAGCAGGAATCCAATTATCTCTTACGGCTGATGCAAAGCGTCTAACACTTATAACTGATTCTCAACTTGTTTCGAGTCAGTATAACGGAGAGTATGAAACACGGGATCCAGCAATGATTAAATACCTGGAGAAGGTAAAGCAATTATCGGCACAACTGCAACATTTTGAAATAAAGCTGGTGCCGAGAGCTCAAAATGTGCAGGCAGATGCTTTGGCAAGGCTGGAAAGTTCGAGCTTGAATAGCTTAGAAAGAACTCTGATGGTAGAAATTCTAAAAGAAAAGAGCATAAGTGAAGCACCAGAACAAATACACTCTGTTGAAAGGACAGCTCAATGGTATGACAATATACTAGCATATCTCATCCATGGGGTGTTACCGGCAGAAAGAGGGGAATCACGAAAATTGCGAAAAGATAGTGTATGGTTCGTTATGCATCAAGGGCAGCTGTATAAAAGAAGCTTCTCATTGCCACTGATGAGGTGCATAGGTGATCTTGAGTCAAAAAGGTTGATAGAAGAAATACATGAAGGTACATGTGGTAATCACCCCGGGCCGAGAATTATATCAAGAGAAGCAATGAGGAGAGGTTACTACTGGCCAACCATGAATGAAGATGCGGTTCGATATGTGAAAGCATGTGAGAAGTGTCAAAAGTTTGCACCCGTTATCAACCTTCCCCCAAATGATTTAACACCGATATTAAATCCAATCCCTTTTGCACAATGGGGAATGGATATAGTAGGACCGTTTCCATCAGCAACAGGCAGCAGAAAATTCCTATTAGTAGCTGTTGATTATTTCACAAAATGAATTAAAGCCGAGCCGGTTGCAAAGATAACAGCAGCGGAAGTAAAAAAGTTTATCTGGAAAAATATTTTCACAAGATTCGGATTGCCGATGGCCATGGTCTTCGACCATGGATCTCAATTTGATTGTAAGCCGGTAAAAGAGCTCTTATCAATGTACAAAGTCAAATTTGATTATGCGTCGGTATGTCACCCACAATCAAATGGGCAAGCGGAAGCAACTAACAAACAGATAGTAACGGCAATTAAAAAGAAGATAGAAGATGCAAAGGGGTTATGGGCTGACTTAGTCCCAGAAATATTGTGGGCTAACAGAACAACGGCCAAGGAGGCAACAGGTGAATCACCTTTTACATTAGTTTTTGGGACAGAGGCAGTGGTACCGGCAAAAGTAGGGTTGCCGACATTCAGAATTCAACACTATTGTCAAGAGCAAAATGATCTTTTATTACGACAACAACTAGATTTCCTACCAGAATTACGTGAAAAGGCAGCAGTCAGGTCAGCTGCTTATAAGAAAAGAATAACAAAAGCTTACAACAAACGTGTCAATCATCGATCTCTTACTGTAGGAGATCTTATACTACGAAGAACAGCTGCAACCGGAAAAGGGAATGAAGATGGAAAGTTAACGGCAAATTGGGAGGGTCCTTATCGTATTAGAGAAATGGTAATGCAAGGTTCATATTACTTAGAAGCAATGGATGGAAAGCCGTTAAAAAATGTCTGGAACACAGTTGTATTAAAGAAATATTTTGAATAGTACGTTGTACTTGGAAATGTAAGCAATATTAATACAAGCGTTTATGAGGAAATATTTTCTTGATATAGGCATCCTCTACTTAACGTAAGTTTGTTATGTAGGACGGACAACTAAAAACCGCTTCCGTGAAACCAGTGAGTTTATAACCTGATCAGTTATAAATATTGGTTCGCGAGGTTGCTGGTTCACTGTATAATACCGGTTAAATCGATTCAAGTATATGCTGAGTTGAAGCGTAACTTTGAATACGATCGCTGAGAGGATACTTAACTGGCTAAAGTTATAGCGTAGTAAGTGATCAATGTTATGCAATAAATCAGCAACAAGTGTATATAATTATTTCTTAACCATATACACTGTGGGGGTGAAATGGATATGTATATATATATATATACATAGCGCTGTGTTCGAATTGTTTTTAAATAAGTTTTCTTCAGCTATGGTGAAGTTGCTGGTAACTAATAAAGTCAATAGTAAAGTCCGACAGTCGTAGAGCAATAGAATGGATATTAAAAAAAGAGCCGATAGCATATAAAAAAAAAGTTGATAGCTGTTAAAATTATTTTAAGATAATAAGGCAAATGTGAAAGTGCATGACATGTTAAAAGTTTCGAAGAATATATGACATGTTCAGAATGATATAAGTAGTTAGACACAATAGTTGACAGGCATCACCACAAAAAGGGCATATGCCGATGTAACAGCATTATGAATACAAAGTCCAACAAAAGCAAATAAATACAGGATTTAAATCAAAGCTGATAAGGCCCAAAAACGCAAGACCCGCAAGAAGATGCCGGTGATGACTGCCCGCCCCATTAAGCTTGTGTACCGTCGGAAGCTGGAGAGTCCAAGATGCTAGGGTCCGAAATACCCTCATCTTCTGCTGGAGCAAGATTAAAAAGATCTTCGTCTGCAAACTCTTGCTCCTCAAAGCCGGATGGGATCTTGAAAACTTCCTCGTTAAAGGCCTTTTCAATGGCAGTCCAGTCCTCTTTCTTCCAGCCGACAGTATGGGCAATGCACCTTTGGGCAGAGGTCAATCCTCCATCAAAGCGATTCTGAATCCGCGTACAAAACTCTTGAGATGTCAAGAAGCGTCTAACAGCCCTTTGGCGGATTCCAGGCTTATATGCCTCCAATACTTTGATTTTTTCTTGAAGGTCACGAACAGAGCCCTTGGCGGCCTCGAGATCCTTCTCAAGAGTAGAAACGCGGCTGACAATTTTGTTTTTCTCGGTAATTTGAGTCTTCAATTTCTGCACTTCTAGCTCGAGATCTTTAACCTTAGAAGTTGTTTCCTTGAGAGACGACATCTCAAGGTCATCTCTTTCTTTTGCTTCTTTTAGTTTTTGCAGAGCCTTATCAGCGTTATCCAGGGCTGTTTAAAGTGCGTTTTGACTAACAGCAGCTTGATGGTGTTGTTCTTGATAATACTGGTACATTTCAACAAGCTCAGTACCAGACATAACGGCCTGCGAAGCCATAAAAAGCAGAAAGTTAGTAAAAAGTATGTAAAAAAAAATGAAAATGATGATAATAAATAATAATAAAAATATAGCATATATATATATAATGAGGGCAACCTTCATCATGTTGTGCATGTGCATAGCAGCCAAAAGACCAATGACGCCAGCAGGTCTATCCACTGGGAGGGTTAAATTGCTTAAAAGACGATAACCCAAAGTCCCACCTAACATAGGGTCATCGGTAATCATTGACTCGTTCCGGCATGCATCTATAGCAGGTTGCCATTTATCCCCGGAGTGGCCGAGAAGGACAGAAAATCCTTTGAGAACAACCTCAGGTATTCTCTCGTTGGGACGCTCGATCCGCTGATTGGATTGGTAGATAAGAGCAGGAGCACTAGTATCGGAACCCCCAGCAGCAGTGGTAACGGTCTGAGGAGCTGGTTGGTCCGGTATATTAGGTTGAGGCAAGGTAGGGGATTCAACGTTGGTGAGATCCTCAACGTCAATACTGTCAACCACCTTTTTGATGACTGCATCAGAACTCTGAACGACCGTTTTCACTTGAACCCTTGGGGAAGGCGGTTTTTTCTTATTCTCGGCCTGATTCTTTTTGTTGCGATCCTCAGGTTGCCGAGTAATGCCTGATCTGGGAAAAGTACCCCACCGATTGGCCAGGGAGGTTGTTTTTCTTTTCTTGGCGTTTTCGTCAGCCATGCTCTCGGCTTTTCTTTTTGCACTGACGGTCGGAGTACGTGAGTAATGTGTGGTGAGAGTATCGTATAAAGGCTTTGTAGCCTTAGGACAGCGTCTGATAACTCTCTTGCTGTCAGCAGAAAGCCCTAGCAGTTTGTTATCTAACTTATCAACACCTGCAAAGAATATTTACATAACATCAGAATCATACTATGAATTGATGTACAAAAAAAAAAAAAAA